GGCACTCGCCATCAACCGTTTGTTCACCATGTCACAGGGCAACACAGCAACACGGGACTGGCTCACGGAGTGGCAGAAGATTGCGGTTGTGCCCAATCTGAACCTACCATTCGAGCATCTACGCCATGAGTTCTACAACAGGTCCTGTGCGGCATTGAGCCAGGCTCTTGGTGATCGCGAGCAGTACTCAACCTTCGCGGAGATCATTGACAAAGCGAGGGAGATCATCAAGACCAACAGGTCAGCTGCACACGAGAAATCAACATGGCAGCCGACCTATGTGGAGAAGGTATGAACTGGTCCGCGACAGCAGCACTTCGCTGCAGTCCAGCAGAACAGTGGAGATAACCCAGCAGTCACTCCAGCATCAAGTGACGGAGATCAGGTGGCTGCTGTCCAGCCGCAAAGCACCAACAAGTCCCGCAACAATGGGAAGGCGAAATCCGCATCGCAGGCCGGAAATGGACAGCCAGGACAATTTCCATGGGTCAAGTTTGGCTTGACCGAGGTGGAGTACAAGGTCCGCGGCCGCTACGGCAGCTGCTATTGGTGCAACAGCACCAAGCACAAGACCTCCCTGTGCCAAGATCAGGGCAAGGAGGATGTGCGACCCCGCCTCAGCCCGGGAAACTGAGCTCCGCGGAAGGTGAGGCGACTCCACCTTCTACTCCGCCAGATTCGGCCGCCTTGCTAGCGGCCTCCTGCACATCTGGGGAGGATATGAATGTCGCAAGTCCTCGGTATACTTACGAGGATTATGCTGACCACTTGGTTCCACCGATGGACCAACCGCTCCACGTGCAACAATCTACTGCATGCACGGTTTCATCACCATCGGCAACCGATTCGGCAATTTCGCCGCTATCTATCGTCGGGGATTCATCGTCATGGTCAAGACTTGAGATGCTCGACCCACTGACGTTCACGGACTTCCAGTGGATGCCCGTTCCCCAGACAGCACGATTGCCGAAACCGCATTGCAATGTGCTCATGGCACAACTGCGAGATTACTTGCACATTGCAGTACCAGCTCCGTTGATGGACACTGGAGTAGAGGTTGTCGACCTTCACGCTTACATTGCGAAGATCGACCGCGAGTTCAAGACGCAACGGTACGACGACATCGACGCAACATCGCTATACGTACGCATTCAGATCGGAGAGGCAACCTGCAGTGCCTTGATCGATTGCGAAGCATCTCGCAACTACATCAGCTAGGACTTCATGGTACGCGTCGGCCTTGGCCCACGTGTCCGGAGGAAGTCCCAGCCTACGCAAGTCACTCTGGCAGACGGTCATACGCACAAGTCCATCGACCGGTGCATTGACGCCGTCCGAGTGTACTTTGCCCCTCACGCAAGTGAGGCGATGTCCTTTGACATTATGGACACCAAAGTCGACATGATCTTGGGCATGTCATGGCTGCGAAGCAAAGATCACCCGGTGAACTTCTTCAACCGCGCCGTTCACGTTCGTGATCGGAACGGAGTAATAGTTTCATGCACGGTGCCTCTTCTTCACCCTTCAATCAGCTGCCACGTGGTATCCGCCGCAAGCATGCGAGCTTCCATCATCAGAGACGACATCGAGGAGATGGGGGTGTGTTTTCTCCACACCCTCCCGCCACATGACGCTTCATCGACGGACTCACCTTCGGATCCACGCATCACCGAACTTCTCGACGCCTACAGCGACGTGTTCGAAGACCCGCACGGAGTAGTACCAGATCGACCCATCCGCCACGAGATCATCCTCGAGGACGGGGCCGTACCTCCACGCGGTTGCATCTACCGAATGAGCGAGGAAGAGTTAAGTGTGCTTCGGGCACAACTCGACGACCTTCTGAAGAAAGGCTGGATTCGGCCTAGCTCATCGCCATATGGTGCTCCTGTTCTCTTCGTCCGGAAGAAGAACAAGGACATGCGGTTGTGCATCGATTATCGCAAGCTCAACGCGCAAACGATCAGGAACGTCGGCCCTCTCCCACGCATCGACGACCTTCTCGAGCGATTGGGCGGCGCCCAGTTCTTCTCCAAGCTGGATCTCAAGTCAAGGTACCACCAACTCGAGATTCGCAGAGAGGACCGTTACAAGACTGCGTTTAAGACACGGTATGGGCATTTCGAATGGCTGGTCATGTCGTTTGGCCTTACGAATGCCCCAGCCACTTTCCAAGCGGCTATGACAACGGAGTTCCGACACATGCTGGATCG